GCTCGGTTTGGAAAAAAAAAAAAACAGTCGAGCCGAGCCGAGCCGGCGGCTTATGAACAGTGCTTATGAATAGTAAAAACTTCTTCACTCTTTTATTTAAGTAGGATATATAAAGAGGAATGATCTAATGAGCACCAGTGCTCATCTTTGCTCATTAGATCATTTCTCTTTCTCTATATATAATCCAACACCTCAACCACTAAACATGATTGGAGACTAAGGGAGAGAAATGTGTTACAAAATTTGATAAAATAATAGTCTATTATTATTACACAGATACATGATTACAAGAAATAAAAGTGAAACCAACAATAATAATGTTAATCTTCAAAGATCATCCATATGGTAATATTCCAATATTATTACCAATAATAGATCATCTACCGCCACCCATTGGTAACAGTATATGATCCCTCGTGCTATCATAACCAGTACCTATGGTATTACCTTCACCATTTGCTAAGGCATTTGTTGGCCAGAAGAGAAGGGATTCCATCTCTTCTGCTTTAGGTTGAGTTTGTACCGAATAGTGTTTTCTTGATAGTCTTAGACCTTCAAGTTCCATAGCCACTTCCTTCATACTAGGTCTATCCGCTCCCCTTATGTATAAACACCTTTTCGCAAGCATAGCAACTGCCGTTAATTGCTCATTGTTTCCTTTCGATACAATGTTATCTTCAAGAACTTGGAATAGATGGCCTTGATTCAGTCTAGAAAGAAAATAGCTCGCTAAGTTTCTCTCCTCCTCTGGTCTATCGTAGCTCAATGCTTTTTTTCCTGTTAACAACTCCACAAGGACTACTCCATAACTATAAACGTCACTTTTTTCCGTCAATTGGTTCGTTTGCATGTATTCAGGGTCTAAGTATCCAAATGTTCCTTGCACCATAGTTGATAATTGAGTTTGATCCACAGGAACCAATCTTGATGCTCCAAAATCAGACACTTTCGCTGTGAAATTACTGTCTAAAAGAATATTCGCCGACTTCACGTCTCTGTGTATGATTGGAGGTGAAGCTGCCGAGTGCAAATATGCAAGCACACCAGCAGCTTCTGCAGCTATGGTTAAGCGTTTGTCCCAAGAAAGAGCACGTGCTTTTGTTTCACTGTTTATGTGTTCAAAAAGGGTACCGTTGTTGATGAATTCATAAACTAGCAGAGGAACTTGTGTTTCTAAACAACATCCAAAAAGCCTGACAACATTCTTGTGGTTTATTTGGGCAAGAACAATCACCTCATTGATAAATTGCTCGATTTGGTTTGGATCAACCTCTTTGGACTTCTTGATGGCAACTATTCTATTATCTGATAGGAAGCCTTTGTATACAGTGCCAAAACCTCCTTGGCCAATAATCCTACTGTCATGAAAGTTGTTTGTTGCTTTATTGAGCTCAACGGAAGTGAATATTTTTGTTGCATCGGGAGAGTAGTTTCTTCTAATGAGTTGTTCTTGCAACAACAATCCTCCATTTTGAAGAAAGAATTTCTGCTTCATTGTGATCAACTTTCTTCTCCTTAGTTCCAAGTACAACCAACAGGCACCAAGCAGAAGAACAATGAAGCCTAGAGCAATCCCTGTTATTGAAATTTTCAAGGGGCAAAAAGAATTAACATTAACTTCTTTTTTCCCTCTTCATTTTCATTGAACCAACAGGCTAGAATTTTTTTTTTTGGAAATATGGGTTGATATTAAAGGTCACACTAATTCCCGAGATTCTGTTGGCAGGGTACACCCGTCCACAAAAATGAGAGAAAAGGTTAAGATCTACCCAAAGAATTCGTACTAACCTGCAACAAGTTTGAAGACAAGTGATTCACCACGAATGCAACCTCGTCCATCTTTCAACCCGTCGCCGTGGTAACCTTTCGGGCAAATACAGCTATAATTTCCCGATGAGTTCTCACATCCCTTTTCACATTTATTGTTCGGGTCTAGACATTCATCAATATCTGCATAAGAAAAAATAGCAAATACAGAAAAGCAAATGAAGTTATATTCTTCAAATACTGCAAATAAAATGACATTAGACGCTCAACGAGAGCAAGCTATGTATGTATATCAAGAAATTACCTAGGAAAAAAATTAAATCTAACCTACCTTGACAGCCATCAACGAGGTATGGGTTTCCTTGATAACCCTCCTCGCAATAACAACGATACCCATAACCATTATTGGGTTCATTACACTTGGAATTTGAACTTTGACATGCATAACTAGACATGTTATTTCGAGCCTCCACACAAGTTCCATCTCCAACCGCCCAGTCAACCACCATAGGAAGACTTGTTACATTCCTCAGGCTGGAAAGACTACTTAGAGTAAAATTGAATGCACTTTCCTCAGCAAGGAAACTATAGCTGCAATTGTTGAAATCCCCCACATTTTTGAATTGATCATAGCTCTGCAATGTCAGGTTTGCTATCTGCACCTCTCTTGGGATAGAAGTTTGGCAGCAGCCTAGACCAGAACACATACCGTCTGCCAAATCCCCCTTGGATCCGCAATACGAATTACACCCTGTCCGATAAAATTTATTGTTAAACCGCGTACCATGCACAAAAGCATTTGTATCGCAACCAACCACGGTCAATTTATTCGCAGTATTGTTGATAGTGAGGCCCCATATTAATTCTATCCGGGAAGTGACATATAGGATTCTGGTGCCATTCTGATAACAATCTTTCGCTATGTAGTTTAGGAGGTGCAATTGGCCCTCCAGGGATATGTTAGTGATTTCGATGTTTGAGTTTTGTACAAATGCTTTGGGAGGATTGTAGGTTTCATTACAAGTGACTAAGAATGTACTGTTATGGTAACATCCTTCTGTAGTGCCAAAAGGGAAGGGAATATTTACATTTCCACAACGATCCATACAGTTTGGCATCGCTATTGGGATAGAACTTGAAATTGATATTGAGACAAATGAAAGCAGAATTGCTAGAATGAATTGGGTTTTCAGAAAATGCAATCCCATGGCCATGGAGACTTTTAGATTGTAATTTTTCCTTGGTTGCATTTGTGTTGTAGGTAGTAACAGAATTAGGACTCTAATAATATAATAATAAGAGACATTTATATAATTTGCGAAGTCATCTCTTACTAAGTCCATGGAAATTAACGAGTATTCTATTGTAAAAACTCTATCCATAACTTGGTTGAAAAATTAACTTCTTTAGTTATTTTGGAAAATTGATTAGTTCCATTATGTTTTCTTGGCTAGCCAAGTTTGAATAATACAAATATAGATTTGTTCAATGTTCCAAGGCGAGTCCCTTTTCAATTCTGCTGTTTCACATTATGAAAATTTTTACTAGCGATTGATAAATAATTATAGAATGAAAATAAATAAAAGTAGTTACTTTTACACGGAGAGATTCTTTCCTACACGGAATATTCAATTATACTATTCTTTTCCAAAGGGCTAAATTAGTCATATACTAGTGTGAAGAATAAGTTGATTCCATGAGATGATGACTTGTTCATTAACTAGCTCTTATCTCAATTCTTTCCTACACGGAATATTCGTCATTTTGGTTTAAAAAAAATTATAGCTTTATTTTCATTTAAATGAAAAATAGATCCATCTATTTAGTAGGTACTTTAACATTTCTATTGTTATAAAAATAGGTAGTCATTGAACTTGTAAGTCACTGAACTTTTTTTGCATTAAACTGATTACTCAACTTTTGCGTTTGCTCTTCGTTAATCATTCCGTTAGTTGCACTTGGTAACACTAAAGGGAAAATCTGACATTGGAGTTAAACTTGACAGAATGCTGACACGACAAAAAACATTGCTGATAGGAGCACACAACACGTGGGAAAGTGATTAGGGGCATTGAAAAATTGGAGCTTAAAACGAGATTTACGTTCGGATACTAATATTTTGTTTTCAATGATGTCAAATCTATCAGTTCAGATTAAAGAAAAGAAGAGGTTTCAGATTCTAGCCCTTTTCCATGAGTTCTTGTGCTGAAATGTATGGTTCAACGGCGGCAAATGCATTTGAAGAAACAGCACATGTAGTCATAATTTGTGAATCCATTTTATCTAAAAGAACAATGCTATGCCTAACTAGCACCCGGCATGATAGATCACAAAATTGAACGTCAAGTGAGTAGAAAATATTATGACTAGTTCTTCCCCAAAGGACTAAATCAGTTATGATGTCATTAGTTAAATCAATGAAGAACATTTCGTTCGGGGCTAGAAAAAGTCTTATTGTCAAAACAACAGTTTGTTCATTAACTAGTTTTTCTTCAAATTGTTTTGAGTAAATGAGTCGTCAAGTTTTAATTTTGTAGTAATTACGTCTTCAAAGATGATTTTTGTCAATAATTACATTTTAGCACGCAATTTGAGATTGTTGCCTATGTTTGCTACTTGGGCATGTCAAGCTCTGGCCTCTCAATCTTCCAGAATCCCATATTTTGCCCCTCTAATTCCCTTGTTTTTGATCATGATAGTCCTTTCCCGCTGGTTAAACTAACAGAAAATGCAGCTGTTAAACATGATGAGTGTTGAGTAGACGTCTAACATGGCAAAAAATATTGCTGATCCAAGACACATCAATAAACATGTGACGGAGTAATAAGGTTTGAAATTAAAAAATATTGGCAGTATTGGGTTTAATTTATATAAAATTTCAATAGGCTCACTAAACTTTTGTTTTTATTTCAATATGTTGATTATTGGGGCTCCAATCACACCAAAACCAGGCCCAGTCAACACCAAACTCGACACCACAATAAACACCAAAACCTCCCAACTTTTTCTTCCCAAACCGGTTGCTTCCAAGATTCTACAAAGGACAATGGGAGGTGAATGATATAGGCACAATAACCAGCCACAAAGGCTAAGAGAAATGGGGAAGAGGATGGCACAAAGCCAAAGGGAAAGCACGAAGCCAATCTAAAAGCCTTCCAAGGTAATGGGTCTAGCCATGAGCAACACTAATGTAATTAGGTTACTTCAAATGACCCGAATAAGTTGTAGGAATGGTTTGTTCGATTGTGGTGTCAACATTTCACTTCACTCATCGGCCGAGGCCTATGAAGTATAATCTAATAAACCGGTTTAACATCATCCCCTGGATTTATGGGGTATCAAAACCCAACAAATCTCCACCTTGATTCCCAATAAATCTGTAAGCAACCAAAACACACAGTTTA